CCTGGGCGAGGTGAACGTCCAGGGAACCGAGCTCGGTCCCGTGCCTTGGCCTGCCGCGGATCTTTCTTGCTGCGAGGCTTCCGTGGCGGCGTGAACCGTCGCGGTCGTCCTCTTCGGCCGACATTCAACGCTTAGCTCAGAACTGGTACGGACTAGGGGAATCCGACTGTCTAATTAAAACAAAGCATTGCGGTGGCCCTCGCGGGTGTTGACGCAATGTGATTTCTGCCCAGTGCTCTGAATGTCAACGTAAAGAAATTTAAGCAAGCGCAGGTAAACGGCGGGAGTAACTATGACTCTCTTGCGAGCCCAACCGGCTGGTGTTGTGAGAGCCTTATGGCTCGCTGCGCACATATTGACCAACGTCCAGTCTTGGTAGGGGATGACTGGGGGTCTCAAATACCCCTGACTTTCTCTGAGCCAGCATTCTAGGCAAGCAACTGTCTATATCGCAAGCAGTTCCGCTGGGTGCAACAGGATCGGAACGGCATGGTTCCAACACCTTGATGGGTAAACATACCCTTGCCACGAAGGTTTGTCATGCGTCCCAACGTTACGACGTCTGGGCGTATGGACTGTGAAACGTTGTTAGGATTAGAGGATCCGTTGTGGCCTGATAACCATGTCAGTGCGGGCGCCAGTCGTGTTGCGGTTTCGTCTGAGAGCTCTGGTTGTTCGGGTCAGGACTCGTCATATAGCCGGCATTAGGCATTGAGCCTCTCCTGACCAAGTCATTTCCATACCTCCTCGTGGTACCGCTGGTAACACTGTCGTCTCTTGTTCGCGAGGTTGACAGTGGCTGAATGGAGTATGGCGCCCTTACCAGAAGAGGCGTTTCGCCGTTTTTGGCGCAGGGTTTACGGGAATTACCTGTAATTAATAGAGCACTATCCTTAACCCTATATCCTGTGTAAGGGCACCAGCTGAAGGCTGGAAAGTTAGGTGATTCCATGTAATTCTATTACTTGAAGATTTTGGGGTATTCCCAGGACGGATTTTCAATGACGACCCAGGCTATCTTATTAGGATTTGACATGTTATTTTATTCTGAACCATCGACTTGGATAACAAAGCTATTTCAAAACGAAACAGACACAACTACGAAATGCTTCGGACACAGGTAGTCTCGGCCCCGGATTACCTGTGGCGGAATTGCCCGCTGCTGATCAGGGGACCAACGATGACGATCAGGCTTTGTCCACGGATAATGAAAATGATAAATTGATTGAAATTACTGTGCCATTACAGGATAATATAACCCAATGCGAAGTCTGCACTAGAAAGAACGTTCGAATTGGCTTCATAAACCTAAAGGATCTTGTCTACCACTACAAAGATCAACATAACACATTTGATATAAATCTACGTTGCATCAAATGTAGAAAAAACTTTCCTAGACTTAAAAACTGGCATGGGCATAGACCAAAATGTAAAGGGGCAGCAACCGAAGTAGAGAAAGCCTTCAAATGTTTCGAGTGCAAGGATTCTTTTGAGACGCAAATAGGCTTATCGCATCATGAAAGACACGCGCATCCCAAGCTGCGTAATGCTAAACGCCAAGCAGCAGCTGAAAGGCCTCACCGCATTTTAGGTAGGCGCGCGTATGTCTGGAGTAAAGAAGAAACCGATGAACTGTCAATGCTTATGGACTGGTTTAGAAACTCAGGATATCTAAACAAAGAGCTACAAGTATTCTTCCCAGACAAAACATTAAAACAAATCAGCGATAAACGTAGAGAAGTGCAAGCAAAACAGATTCCGAAAGAAACACCAGTGGTAGATATCTCTGATGAAGAAGAAGCTGTTCAATGCCAACAAGAGGACAATCAAATCGCACCAGAAACTTCCACGGAGAAAGGTATTGCCAAAGAATGGAGGAATACTATAATCGAATAGGTGAACTCCGTTGAGGCCTCCCCGACTATCAAGTTTTCGGATATCGTCATAGATCTAAAGAACAATTTAAAAGATAATGCGGACAACAAAGATGTATTATTAGCTACAATCGATAAACTGATAGATAAAGATTTAGTCCCAAGAATTTTAAAGATTACGGAAGTTTAAGGCAAAAACCAAAATAAGAATGATAAGACGAAAAGTAATAGAGTCCGAAATAAGACAGATAGGAACAATAAAAATCATAACCAACCAAAAAGATTCGGTTATGCCAGATGTCAGGAGCTATATAACAAATGTCCGAAAAAGCAAGCGGAGTCAGCCATATCTGGAAACTTCTCGTTTATGGATGTACGACAAGAACCTCCAGTGGCTGACGAAGTCAAAGAACTTTACACAGATCTATGGGGACAAAAGAAGCCTAAAAATATACAATTACCGGCATTCGCGAAAGCTCAATTAGATATAAGGGAAGTGTTCGTGCCGATAACAGTACAGGAGGTTAAAAGTCGAACTATTGAAATAAAGAAAAACTCTGCAGCAGGGTGCAGCGATGGAATTAAGAAATGCCATATATTTTGTGCAGGAATGGCTGAGCTCCTAACAGTGCTTTATAATATATTACTGATTTAAGGGCACTTACCAAACTCCTGGAAAAAGAACTGGACAACACTAATTCCGAAACCAAATAAAGATCCAACGGATGTGAAGAATTGGAGGTTAATAATCATAGGATCGATGCTTAACAGAATTTTTTCAGCATTAATTGATACTAAGCTCAGAACATTTGTAACACAGCATGCTAGACAGAAGGGCTTCGCAAGTGAGGATGGCTGTAAGATTATTTCCACATTAAAGGAAACAATAGCCGAGATGAAAACGAACGAGGGGGGAATAGTTACAGCACTGGATATAACAAAAGCTTTCGACACAATTCCCCATAGCATGATCAATTTCGGACTTAAAAAGAAGGAAGTCCAAACACATATAATAAACCTTATCCGGAATATGTATCGCAATAGCATGACTTCAATTAAAGCGGCAGAAAATCAATACGTTGAAGTCGAACTAAGAAGAGGAGTTAAAAAGGGGGACCCGCTCTCCTCTACTGTTCAACTTGGCCATCGAACCGATGATTGAGCAGATAGATCGTGAGACAAGAGGGATATTAGTCAACGGAAAACCTCTGTCCATTTTGGCGTTTGCTGATTATGTTGTCCTACAAGCGCAAAACGCAAGAGAGGCACAGCGTCAATTGGAAAAAGTAAATTTATATCTACAAAACATTGGCATGTCACTTTCAGTACCTAAATGCGCTACATTCCAAATAGTGCAAAAGAGTAAAACATGGTACATAAAAGATCCGAAGCTCAATATACAAGGAAACGAGATTGAGAATACTGAACCGGAAATGGCAATTCAGTACTTAGGAACGAAAATATTTCAGTGGAAACTATTGGAAAAGGGATCTGAAGTT